ACCCCCCCCCCTCTTCCTCTAAATTCGCTATGTAATGCTTTAACGGCCCCTTATGGAAATACCAGAGTATCTATACGCCACGGAGAAAAAAACTTCGTGCATGGGACCCGAAGTTGAGGTCATATGGATCTCTGAAGTTTTAAGCGCTCAGCCGATAGGCGGCGCTTTTTGATTTCGATTTGCCACTAGAGCTCTAGTATAGTAGGGCGCTCAAGCGATCAAATGGCGCACCAACTCATCGATGCACGAAACGCCATTTTTACTTTTTTTTTTTTATTACCTCATTATGCCTCTGTGAATACGATTAAATGCAAATTAGCGTAAGAAATAAATAACAGTCCTAAAACTCTCTTTGCTATGCGGTTTATAGTTATCCTATAATTACTTCTGAAAGTTCAAGATTCGCGTTCTGTTTTCCGAAAACTTTTCCACCGGTGATAACCTTATTCGGAGACCTTAGTAGAATTCGCCTACATCTAGGTTATGTGTCTTTGACCTAGGTACTGGAGAGTATTGCCATCCTTTTGCCCTTCTCTGATTGGTTCATGAGTTTTGGCGTCTTTGGCCCTCTTCTGGCTTAATAAGATCAATGTTCATTTTCTGTAGGTACATAGCCGCGATTCAGATTCAGATGACACTACTCTCCCGTATTTGCTTCTCGCGTCTCGCTTACTCCTTTGTGTTTTCATATTTCGTCCATCTCCCTCCATCCATAATTAATTCCATAATCCATCCGCCTCGTTTAAGATTGTGTTGTGAAATTTAAGATTGTGAAATTGTCTGAAATTTGAAGCATAATATTTTGGAATTATTCAACGTATGTCGTGTCTTGTCTTCAGACTCGTTCTGCCCACCTCGTGAAGTTTGTGAAAGTTTCTGAAGTATAATGCTGTGAAATTATTTGACCAATTATCATGCTACCTCAGAGACTGTTTTAGTGTTTTTGGGTTAATTAAAGTATGTCAGGTAGGAGATCTGCCATTTGCGATACATGCAAAATGCTTCATTATACTAGTGTACCACAGTTGTTCTCAAGCACCAATTACAACACGGTTTGCATTTTTATGCTGAATAGCATAGATAAACGACTGGAGCATTTTGCGCAGCTCAAGCGCAGGGATTTGTACCTTCGTAATTGTCACCACCTCATCGCTGCAAATTATGAAAAGGACCGCTCGAGTGTATCCTTGATCATAGAATATCTGTTATTCTCAAAGCGATGTCGTCATCACATCCCTGTCAGTTCACAACTTCTAATTATTGAGTTTAACTAGGTGTCAAAAAATCTGAGATATCTGAAGTAGCAGAAAATTGTGTACTTTCAAAGTCTAAGATTTTTTGCGGCACCGACAGTTTCATAAATCTTCCTTATAACACTCTACTCTGAAACCGCTACATTCTACCTCTCACATTGCTCCATAACAAAGGTATGTGTTAGCCTCTTATTTGTACTAAAAATTCTAGGTTTCATGACTCATTTACTCATTCACTCTCTGGTGAATTTGGTTCCGTCAGATTCATTGCAAGACACCTTATGTGTTATCTCCGCAGACCTAACACAGACATTTGAACGCTCAATGAGAGCAAAATTTCAACTGGCCTGTTGTCTACTTTTCAGTAAAGAGGGTAAATAACCTTCCTTAAGGACTCGCTTTGAGACGATAAAACAAGGTTTCTCCATTACTTACCGTAAGACGATAATAAGTGTTCCACCAGACTATGTAGGAGATGAGGTTGAAAGTTACATCACCTCCATGTGTGAGGAAGTTTTCTTACCTACAACCTGATTTTATGACTTACAATAACAAAAGATACTGCTTTCGCCTGGCATTTTTTCATGCGTCGCATCGTCTAATAAACGGGGACCTACATTTACTTGATTCCATGAATAGGTAAAATGGCTCAGAGAGAATTTCGTCGAATGATCACTACGGCCATCTCTCATCCAGTTGGAGAACTTTTACTTACCTTTGATTAAAAAATTCATGAACCATAGAGTTTTTGGAAATTGAGTACACAATATTATTGTGAAAGATTTTTGAGGTTGAGTCTTTGTTTACATTCTCAAAGTATCAAAAGTTCTACAGTTTCATCGTGTTTCCTCCTAACTTTATCAGCTTATGAGCAATGGCTCCTAATTTACTCAACTCCTCAGCAGGCCAAAACTCTATACCTCTACAGATACATATGAGAATCATGCGTTTCAACGAAACCTACGAGTCCTCTTATCATCACTCAGGAACCACCGATCTTTTCTGCAGGTGTCATGGACCATTCATGACAAATACTGTTGCAACCACCCTTATCCTAGGTACATATCTATGCATAGTAATTCTAGTGATCAGCTCCATACTCACAATGTAATTTCTGTAAAATACAGTTGGACGGTGGAATTACCAGACCCCGTATCTCGGTTTGCGACGTTGTAGACTTCCTTTCATACTTTCTTCTTTACACGGAAAACCAACCAACATCAATTTATAAAAACTTCTGCAATTTTTCTTCTCTGTGCAAAGAAAACTCTGTGAAAACCAAGGAGGAAAAATGATTTGTTCTCTGTCAAAAGAATAAAATGGGAGCGGAGATTTTTAAGCACCGCAAACGAGATACATGGTCTGCTAGTTTCACTGTTGACTTGTTACGATATACCTATACCTACAATATCCCTATAGATTACATTGAAGATATTACTGTCCCTGTAACAGTGACTGATTCGAATGTTATCACAGTAGAGGGTTTCAGATATTTGGGCCAGCATGGTTTATTAATTACACAGAACGTAAGTTACCTTTATAAATTAAGGCGTAGAGGCAACTTCTGCCTTTGGTTGGCCAGAAATTTCTGTAAACGCATTTAAATTCCTAAAATTTATGAGAAATTCCGAATCTACTAAATGAAAGCAAGGATTTCAGGAGAACATGATTAACAATTTGCTGTCAGAAGGAAAACTGCGGAAGGAAAGTGGGAAAGATTTTTCACTAAGGCTCAACATAATATGAGGAGGAAAAAATGAATGTAATTTCCGTTTACCCTGGTTATAATTCTGGTATTGCAAGAATTCTCTTTCTCTATTTACGTAATTACGTATTAGATTATTGTATTGTATGAAATCCTGTTATCACGAAGACAGAGTATCATAGAGCATAAACAATAAACATAGGAAAGGTTGTGTCTGATCATGAGTCATTAGAAGGTTTTAGCGTAGTGTGCTGCAACCTAGCGGACACATGGTGCCTTCGATTCGCGAAAAGTTACCTTCAGTACTCACAATCAGTTGCAGTTGATTGATTTCGTTTATTGTCTCATCATTTACCTATTAATATTTATATTTCGTTCATTTATTTACCTATAATATTTTTACGTGTCCAATTAGGGCATCATTAAAACAATTAATTTGGCCTCGTTAAGTGATACGTTCATCTTTGATACATTTTCTTCAAATGATCTAGAAAAGTTATTTTTTTGAAGCCGTAATAGTTTTCTCTGTTTTTATGAGAAATCGAGGATTTTTTATGTATTAATATTTCGGTACTTAAGTAATGGATCATTATTTTTCTTATGGATCTTGGATTTTTTTTCCGGGGGTGGGGGAGGAAGCACAATTTTAGATGTTTTAATTATTGCAAATTTTAACATACTCAGTTAATAGGTAGTAAATTAAATCTGGGACTCATTAAAATTGCGCTCACCGCTGAGCGCTTCTCTAATACCCACGTATTAGAACTTTCCCGCTTGTTTTGATCATGCATCCGAAAACTTGAGGTCGAGCTGCCGAAGTTCGGGTCAGACATCGAGGCAATTCGGTATGTACCGGAGTACTTTCGATGTGTGACCCGAATCCTTCGGTACATACCGAAGTACTTCAGATGTGTGACCCGAACTTTGGCAGTTGAACCTCAAGTTTTTAGATACGTCATCCGAAAATTTCAGATGACCTCAACTTCGGGTCCCACGCACGGCGTTTTTTCTCCGTGCAGAGGTCCATCTCATGAGGGCTGTCTATGAGGGATATGAGTTTGAAAACGGTGTGGCGGACTTACCTTCGACATTATTGAAGCGTCTGCGGATGTAGTTGATGATCTTGGCGGTGAGGGAGAGGCGGTGCTTGGCGCGTCGCCTGCGGGAGGCCTCGCCGTCCTTCCCGTCCTGCTGTCCCTGCTGCTGTCCCTGCTGCCCGCCCCCGCTCTGCTGCTGCCCTCGCTGCCTCCGATCGCCGCGACCATAGCTCTGGTGGGCAACTACACTGTACATCCTTCACCGGGGCCCATCGGCATCTGAAACCTGGAACCGAAAATCCCCGAATCCTTAACACGACAATTTTTTTAATAACGGGAGAGAACATGATACATCGTTGCCTACGAGAATTGAGAGATCGTAACTACTCAGTTTTGTGACGTCAAACTAGTAAATTAGACATCGGCCGAAGTTGCATACGAGCGGCGCGTTTGAATCTTAGTGGGTTGACGAGTTTCGGCTTCCAGGACTTCATGTCCATCTACCTTTCGTCCATTAAATAAATGTCCACCGATATTTATGTTGTCCAAAAAATTGTCCAAATTGTGGACATGTTATGTCCACATTTTTTCTTATTATTTAAATGACAGGAACCACCTCAAAAATAAATGCATACTACTATTACCTTCATTCTTAAAAACATTTCATTCATGAATCAAGTCATGAAAAAGAACATACTCTAAGAGCAGAGAAAAACTTATGTTCATGTGTACACTGTACGGATATGATAAGATTAAAACCAAAGCGGGAGCCTAGGAAACGATCCAATGCCAAATTAAACATTTTTCAGTAACAGATGCAGTAAAAATTGAAAGTCCTCTTTAACTAGTTATTTCGTGCGCCTTCCATCTTGTAGGATACTGTGCAACGCCTCTGACGCAAAATAGTTGCTTAAAGCGTTTCGGAGCGTCAGGGAACCAGCGTGACACGCGCATAGGCGCCTACAAACCTAACGGTATACTTCACGCGTTGCGCAATGCGTGAAGATAGGTTTGTAGGCGCCCATACGCGTGTCATACTGGTTTCCTGCCGCTCCGCTCTGTGTTAGGCTCTAATATTTAAACTCGCGGAGTCAGCGTTTTTCAACTCATGATTTTGAAATGTTTGCACTCTCTGCAATGATTATTCCCTTTTAATCTGATGAGAAATAAATATATACTGCTAGAAAAAATAATGTGTTTTTTGTAAATATAATAGTGGTTCCGTATCAAATTTAATGATTTCCAAAGCATTCAAATTTATTCTTTTATGTTTTGGGCTTTGACTGTGCTGCAGCGTGGTGTAAGCACAACCAAACGCTCAAAATTGGACGTATTTGAATCAAGGAGGTCGATGTACAAGTAAGTTAAAAACAAAAAATTGCATGCTTCTTAGTTTTTTTCCTCTTTTATGAATTTTTGTATAGTTTCTTTCATCACAACTACGGCTCATTGAGATTCATATCGATGCCATTGCTTGGAAAAGATTTTACAAATATTTACCACGTTTTAAAAATGTAAATGTTTTTAAAATGAAGTAATCAATTTCATTAAAAAAAAGAATGTACATTTAAGGCATATTTTGTATCGGAAATTTCAAGGATAGAAATGAAACCAAGTATTTACCAAAGACAATTTGAAAAGATGAATCAAAAGAAGAAATTAACATTTCATTTAAAATATGAGTTACGATAACAACACCTCATTCTCTCTCAATTTTCTCATTTCGATATTGACAATATAGTTTTACACACGGACTAAAATATGACGCTTGAATTTGATTTTAGTGGACTTTACATTTGTGGACTTAACTTAGTGGACGTTTAAGTAATGGACTTAACAATAGAGTGGGCTTTAGAACTGTGGACGTAAAAATTGTGGACGAAAAATCTGTGGACGTAAAAAAAGTGGACATAAAGTCCGTGTACCGAGTTTCGGTATTTAGTAGTGTTTGTAACAGTGCAGTGGTGTTGTAACATGCAGACAAATGAAAGCAGAATCCTGTTTAGAAAAAAAAACCTAGCATTCGATCCATATATTGATTTCTATATCAAATGCGACGTTTTTTTCCAAACAGGAAATTTTTTGCATTTATTTCTCTGAATTTTTCTAATTTATTGGTCTCAACTGATTCTTTAGGCTCATGCGTAGTACCTCGCCCTTCTTGTGCCCACACATTCAAAATCTGCCGAGATTTTTTAATTAATCGACGCGATATAGCATGCCAGTTCGACCACGTCAGCGGGCTGATTGTTGAAATTGATAAACAAAGCGATAGACAAAGAGGACATAGGAAGTATGGAGCGATCCTTTCGGTTGACATGGTTGGTTCCTATAGACTAAGGAAGAAAATGATGGACTAACTGCCGGGTCTTCGGTGGGTTGCCGTTAGTTAGTCCATTACCTACCTCCTATGTCCATTGCCACCACCCGCTTCCAACAATAGGATCCCTCTAAATCCCTTTTGTCGCCTCTGTCTATAACTTTGTCTATCATTTTCAACAATCGGCCCGCAGGAAATCTAAAGAATCACAATAAAATGAGAGGAAAAAAGGAAAGAACTCAACTTGGCAACAGTGCACTGCACTTATCACCATTCAAAAGCAGGATGAGAATCATGACCTCTTTTATTCCTCGCTACTCGATAGGATGCCGACGCATCATTCCGGAGTCGTTTATGAGTCTGTTCCCTTCTGCACCAACAATTACTCCAACTCGGCAAAATAAAATGGAACTGGGTTCCGCGCCTTGGCGTCTCCGTGCCTCGGTCCGCAGATAGTTCCATATCACTTTTCCCTTATTCTGCCGTGCTAAGGAAAAACGCCGTATGAACATTCGAGAGTTGCCAAATTTCCCTCGATAAAACATGTATTTTTAACAACATTTATGCATATTTGTCCTCAAAACTTTCAGATATTTTAGATTGAACTGCGAGCAAAATAGTCTGAAAATGTTAAAGAAAAATATCTACAACTTCCCCAATAAATTCGTATTTTATCGGAGGAAATTTGGCAACGTCTGAAGGTTCATACGGCGTTTTTCCTTAGCACGGCAGTATTCCCCGCGATGTATCAATTCCCAGTTTTGCTCTCGCAGTCTCGAACGTGTCGTCAAGGGGTGCATTCATTAGCGTCGAATTTAAAAGCATCGTTTGTTTTTTTTTGGTTGAAAGCTCGATATCAATGCTCAAAATTGCAATTAATGTTGTAAGTATTAATCATCACAGCATCATATCGTCACCTTCCGGTCAAAGTATCACAAGCGCCATGTGACGGTTTAAAATTTCTGCCGCAATCTGTTTTTTTACAGAGAATTTGTTGTTCGAATCTGTTCGAAAATTTTTCTGAATTTTACCGGCGGCACGGAGAAAATTCTGTGAAATCGGACAGCTTCGTTGGACAATTTCTCAGTTAAAAAAATTAAATGGTGGCGAAATTTTCGAGACGTTGCACGGCGCTTGTGATGGTTTGGCCGGAAGGTGACGTGTGGACCGCGTTAAGCAGAAAGGAACCAAGCCACATCAGGTATTGCTAAATTTATTTGGGCAATTCAATGATTTTCATTAAAACGGTTTTCAGATTGCTTGCAAAATTCTGCATGATACGGAGGAAATTCCATTACATGTACGAGGGAATTCGCACCAGCGTTCTCTTATAAAAAATTAAGTTGCCCCGTTATTTGGCAATAGCTGAGGTGGCTTAGTTCCTTTCTGCTCAACACGTTCATATATTCTGCCGTGCTACTGAAGAACGCTCTATGACTTTGCAAAATTTCCTGTGACAAAACACGAATTTTTAGGAAATTCTGTGAACATTTTACTTTGAATTTTTTAGAATATTCTATTTGCGCCCGGATCTAAAATCATCTTAAAACTTCAAGGAAAACATTCTAAACTCTTCTCGAAAATAAACATCGTATCGGAGGAAATTTGGCAACTCTCAAATGTTAATACGGCATTTTACCTTGGCAAGACAGTATATTAGTCTTCTGTATTTATTTTTGTCGTGAATTCCCTGCCTTTGAAATCGGTTCTTTTATTTCCTTTTCTTCTATCATTTGTACTTCTCAAGGGTCAAAGGCCTTGACCGAGGCGCAAAACCGGATTTTACCGTAAACAAATTTGCGTCATCAGAGGTTTTCAAAGTTGGGGCGTAAACACCTTCATTAACTTTTTTTATTCGAAAATATGGCTCACAAAAACATAAGTTACTAAAAACAATTTTAAAAAATATTAATAATAATAAAAAAAATTGAAACATTTTTATTTTAAAGTTTTATTTTAGCGTCAAATAAATTTTCAAAATATTTTGATGCCTGTGATTATTTGCTCCACTCCCAATTTTGCTTTACGCGGCTCCCTCTCAATTTTCAACTCAATTTACATAGCTCACCCCCTCCCTCCCTCCCTTGGTCCTAATTTTTCCCGCGCACCACATCGAGTAGGGCGGGTTGCGTCACTGCCCCCGAGCGTAATTTACGATCAACACTTTGTTATTATAAACTCCAAAGCGCGCGCGGGGGGGGGGGGTGAGGGTGTTATTAATTATACGGATAAGATGAGGAACCAATACCACACCCCCTGGGCCCTACCCCTCGAGCCCCCAACCCCCGCATTGCCCACGATCCGATCGGACACGCCGATGGCAGGGCTCCAAATTCACAACTTCGGGACCCTGTAATTGAAACCCCCCCGGCCGGGAATTTACATCCGAGGCGCACCGAAAGAGGGCGCACTGTGGCACGGAGTGCAAAGGAACTCGGCTCCTTGTTGGAATTTGTGAATCTTAAAAACTATCACTCATATAACAAGTATGGGACGAGTGACTTACCGGCCGAGTTATAGATCATGGAGCCATAAAATTTAGTTCGTGGAGCCATGCTTAAAGGTCCACGACCAATAAAGTATGGCTCAAAAAGCCATACTGTAGACGGTAAGTCACTTTGGTTAGAAATTATGGATCTCCGAACCATTTTTTATGGGTCTCAGAGTCATACACCTTTTTTTGGGTGTACGTTTAGACAGTAAGCAATGGGTGGTTTCCTTGGACAGGCAACAATAAAAAACAAAAAAACGAAAAAATGGGGCATCAGTGCGACTCTCAAGAGTTGCCGATCAAAATTAGAAGGTACCTCTCCTTTTTGATAAACATAAATGGCGAACTGAGTATCGGTAAAATGTCTATTGATACACTCTATTCGTGATTTATGTTGATCGAAAAGTAGATCCTATATCGGGAGAGTACGAACATATCGGTTTGAGAATTTTGAGGTTAGGTTGAGGTTG